CTTGAATAGCAATGGCCTCGAACCGAAAAGCAATGGCCTCCAACCCAATGCAAATAGACTTCAAAACACCGTTCTTTGCCTTGCCTTTGGCCACTGCCTTTTGTGGAGGACAAGTGGATCAACCACGGCGCAGATATTCAACTCTACAACCGCTGCGGGCTCAGCTTGGTACCGAATCTAAGCACTTTTGGACCGGATTGACGAGCCAACGTAGATTGTTGATTCCGTTGCCGTTGGAATCTGGATCTCATGGGCATTGAGCTGTGCCGCTGCTGCTTGCCTTGCGCGAAAAGGTCTGTTTTGAGCAGCCTAGTGCCAATTCACGCAATGCACGGTCCCACTCGAGTCGCAAAAAACACGAAAGGAAGGCGAAGACGATGAAGGAAGGTTCTTGCTGCAAAGCCTTTGTTCTTGCGTGTTATGCTATTAGGAGCAAGGACGCTACTAGGAGCAAAGGTCATCGCTACTAGGAGCAAGGATGCTACTAGGGGCTCCTGGCATTACTACTAGGAACAAGAAGCTACTAGGAGCAAGAAGCTATTAGGTCGGAGGCCATCGCTCTCAGGATGGAGGCCTTTGGTTTCGGCGGATGCAGCCCAACAGAGCAGCAAACATTGTTCGATCATGTTTGATATGCCTCCAACAGTAATAGGCTACACCAAACTAAATTAGACCATGTTTCCTGTTTTTTTGTTCTTAGCAATGGCCTCCGACCTAGCAGCGATGGCCTCCAACCTATTAGCGATGGCCTCCAATGTAATAGCAATGGCCTCCAACCTAAAGAAAAGGAAAGAAAGGACATCAGCAAGAGAAGACATTAATAGCGATGGCTTCCACCTAGAAGATGACTGTTGTATCACATAAAACAACATCGCACGGGCAGTCGAGGAACTTAAAAGCGATGGCCTCCAACCTAGTAGCTTCTTGCTCCTAGTAGCTTCTTGTTCCTAGTAGTAATGCCAGGAGCCCCTAGTAGCGATGCCCTTTGCTCCTAGTAGCGATGCCCTTTGCACATGTTTTGCACCGGCCCTTCGACCACTTCCCCGAGGTTGCCTTTTCCACGAGATCATGGCAGGCGGAGTTCGCCAACGCGTTTCACAAAGTGTCACGACGTCCATTTTTTGCCTCAGAGGTATAGTTGTTTTGAGCCTAGATGCGGGGTCGATGGCCTCCAACCTACTAGTGATGGCCAAATAAAGCCTAAAGCAAGAAACATACATGGCTTGCTACTTGAGATTGCATCGAGAAGATTGGAGCGTTCTTCTCCAGATATCCGTTGGAGGCAACTATATGGTGCGCAACACGCCTTTCGCACGGGACTTCCTTATGCGTTGGGCCAAATACTATGACCAGCGACCCTCTGGCTTTTCATCTGCAGACAATGGAGCTATCCAGCTCGTTGCCTCTTGGGTTTGTCTTAAAAAAGGAAAACCTGTTTTTAAGTCTAGCCTTTTTGATAAAATTTGAGCAAATTGTAGGCAGTACTAGGCCAGAGGGTGGGCGAACAAGTAGCTGGTATCTTAAGTACCTAAAGTAGGAGATCTTGGAAGCTGGTGGCTAAGGCCTAGGGCACGGAAGGGATCAGGCTTGGTTTGGTTCGACGTTGTTCAGCCTTCTGAGGTCATGGAAACGATCCAAGTTGAGGGCTACAACACTTGCTATTCAATGTACAGAAATCTCACAGATAAAGCCGGGGACTGAGCAAGCAGCTGTTTTGCAGCTGATTGCCTCCAAAAGTCTTCATCTTCCCATTTTCTGTCTCACTCGCCGCTAGTAGCGTCCTTGCTCCCAGTAGTGATGCCCTTTTCTCCTAGTAGCGTCCGATCGCTCCCAGTAGTAAGGCGAGCCCCGAACGTAGCGTCGTTGCCAAGGTGACGAACCTGAACTCCTATTGGGACTATGTTCACTGCACCAAGGAGGCCGTCACACAAAGTGGTCTCGTGCGCGCAGCGCCCTCCACTTGGCACAGCTTTGGCGCTTCATGTTAACCTCCAACCTAATAGACTCTAGCTATGTTCGAATCTTCTTGTTACTAGCAATGCCAGGAGCCCCGTTTGTAGCGTCCTTGTTCCTTGGCTCACACACATCCGCATAGAGGCCATCGGCCCAGCGCGTGCCTGGACTTTACCGAAGGGCCGGTTGACGATGTGGCCGCGTTTGGAGTTCTATGTGGCCGACGGAGTCTTTCTGAATAGGCGAAAAAGGGGATTGAAAAAAGACTCGGAAACATTTAGTTGCATTTAAGTCCATTCAATTTAATTCACCATTGCTACTAGGGTGGAGGCCATCATTTCTAGGGTGGAGGCCATTGCTATTAGGTTCTTTTTGCTTTTAGGTTGGAAGATGACGAACCTTTGGATTTTTGTGCGCGACACTTTCGCCTCGTGTCCAGGTGGGCAAGCAGTGAGATCGGACCCATTATGCACCACGGCGTCAAAGATCCTCAAGACGTCGTGTCTTTCTACTACAAGGCGAGCAACTAGGAACAAGTGCCACGCTAGTAACAGGTGCCACGCTACTAGTAACAAGTGCCTTACTAGTAGTAACAAGAAGCAACTAGGACGGCGAGAAAGTAAAAAGTCCAAAAGGACGGAAATCAAGGCCCCTGAAGAATGTCATATGCCCAAGGCATGTATATAAGTTAGTTTCCTAGTAGCTTCTTGTTACTACTAGTAAGGCACTTGTTACTAGTAGCGTGGCACCTGTTACTACTAGCGTGGCACTTGTTCCTACAAGTTAGTTTCCCTACAAATCTAGGAACCAAATAACTAGTGCCCTCAGGCAGGGGGAGCTTCCTTGAAGAAGCGTGAGCTATCCTGCGTCCAGCTACTAGAAGCCTACTAGGGAGGAGGGAGCGGGCTAAAAGGAAAACTTGTTACGAGTAGCTTCTTGTTACACCTGCAGGACTTGGATCAATGTGAAATCAATGAGACTTCGGTGCTACGTTCTGCGAAAGAGCTTGGGGAAACGGCCTTGCACCTCGCTCAATCCTATCCGGAGTACTTCCCAGCAGGTGCGCACGGCATTGAGACAGTATGGAATGATATTTCGGAGTGTTGAGTGTTACTAATAGCAATGGCCTCCACCTAGTAGCGATGGCCTCCAACCTAATAGCGATAGCTTTGGAGTGTCGAATGTTTGCTTGTTTGAGTATGATGCTAAGTCTCACAGCAGTAACTCATGCCAATACTGTAGCTATCGCTCTTAGACCATTGCTAGTAGGGTGGAGGCCACTACCACTAGGAGCAAGGACGCTACTAGGAACAAAGGGCATCGCAACTAGGAACAAGAAGCTACTAGGGGCTCCTGGCCTTACTACTAGGAGCAAGGACGCTACTAGGGTGGAGGCCATTGCTATTAGCTGCAAGGCCTCAGGCCGCTTGTGTTTGAGTCTCAGGCCGTGGATGCAAACAATGCGCCGAGACCTGCATGGAAAGTTTTTCGTGTGAACCTCTTCAGGAGATGAGTAACAAGTGCCTTACTAGTAGTAACAAGAAGCTACTAGGAACAAGTGCCTTACTAGTAGTAACTATAGTAGGACAAATTAGCAAACTATAGTAGCAAAGAACTTACTAGGAACAAAGGGCATCGCTACTAGGAGCAAGGACGTTACTAGTGGCTCCTGGTCTTACTATTAGGAACAAGAAGCTACTATTAGACCTTTCCTTCTGTTCTTGTTTCTTTGCTTCCAATAGCTACGGCCTCCAACCGAATAGCAAGACAAGTTCCTGGCAACGAAATGCATGACATTGTTCCTTCAGTCAGGTTCAACAAGGATTCATGAAATTAACTGAGTGCTACGTTGACCAATCCGCACAGGTTTTCATTTGACAAACAACACAATCTGTCAGGACAGCGAGGAGCCCCGACCGCGTCAGGCTCGTCCGCTTTTGAGTCCCCGAAAGAAGCTGAAAGAAGTAAAAGCGTTGGAAAGAGTAGTAAGCAGTAGTTTATTGTTTCTAGCTTCTTGTTACTAGTAAGGCCAGGAGCCCCGAACGTAGCGTTTGAAAGCTTAAAGTTTGTGCTGAAGACATTGGTTCACAACTTGCAAAGGACAAGGACCCTGCTATTTTTGAGCTTTGGAATTATCGTAGCTCTTCGTTCCTCTTAAGAAAAGACAAGATCGTAGAAAAGCCAAGCAAACTACCTTTCTCATGTCTTTTTTGTTTCGAGTAGCGATGGCCTCCAACCTACTGACTCGGCTCTCCAGGTTGTAGATTTTCGAGCTTCCAGCTTCACAATTGTGGACTCTGCGGAGAGCAGAAGGCACGGTGCACACACAAGGACCTCCCCAACGAAGTAGCGGTGAGTAGTGAGAGTAGCACGAGTAGGACTTGCTGGTAGGACGTGCTGTGTACCCAGCGATGGCTTCTACCCTAGCAGCGATGGCCTGAAACAGCACAGGAACCTGTAATGTGGTCGAAGTCTTCACGCAAAACCCGATGGTGGAGGTGTTCTCTGGTTCTCTGGGTCGCCAGGCATTCCTGGGGATGGTCAAGATGGAGCACCGTTTGAGCAAAAAGAGGCACCGGCACTAGGCCATTGCTACTCGGGAGGCCATCGCGTGGTCTCATCTCTTTGGTCACGTGTTGAGCTCGGTCACATCGCATCGCTTCCTCGTCATTTCAGTCGAGCCTTTGGAGAAAGACACACCAAGGCATAGGAGAACGTCAGGAAAAAGCAGCAGAAAGAGCAACATCGCGATCAGAATGCCAAAGGTTCCCGTTAAACCCACCTTGTTATTCAATACGGTGACCGCAGGTATTGGTCCTCACAGCAAGGCCAAAAACCCACAAAAGCTGCCAAGCATAAGCGAGAATGAAGACCTTTCGAAGGATTCGCAAAGGCGTCCAGGTAGAAGGCCAGAAATGGCCTCCAAACTCATTAAACTAATTTAAAGAAAATAAAAACCTTCTTTTGAGTCTAGTAGCAATGGCCTCCAATGTAATAGCAATGCCAAGTAGAAGGGAAATGGCCAGGTCATTCGACATTGACATGCCATGGCACATGGGGCACATGCCATCGCGCCGGGGCGAAGCGAGCACGACAAGGTAGGATTCGGCAAGATGATTGGCAAAGCGCAAAGGCTATTGGAAACAAGTGCATCGCTAGTAGTAACAAGTGCCTTACTAGTAGTAACAAGAAGCTATTAGTAACAAGAAAAGTATATAGCATCCTTGTTCCTAGTAGTAAGGCCAGGAGCCCCGTTCGTAGCTTCTTGTTACTACTAGTAAGGCACTTGTTACTAGAAGCGATGCACTTGTTCCTAATAGCTTCTTGTTCCTAGTAGCTTCTTGCTCCTGGTAGTAAGGCCAGGAGCCCCTATAGGCCCTAGTAGCGTCCTTGCTCCTTGTTGATTCTTTTCACAGGTTGCCTCTTCGATGGTTTGCAGGGATGCGGATAATTTCCAGACTGCCCATTAGTGATACAAAGACTATCATTTCCAGATCCTGTTGTTCTTGTAAAGAGGCATCCTTCCATGGTGCAGAGGTCATGAAAGCGATGGCCTCCAACCCAATAGCAAAAGGAACCCTACTCGCAATGGCCTCCACCCTAGTAGCGATGGCCTGTTTGTTGGCTTCTTTCCGAAAAGGCCCAAAAAGGCCAAACGCGGCCAGGCGGTCATGGCAGTCGAGCTTGCGTTGGCTCCCGAGAAACAGCTCCCGCTGTGACACGGTGAAGCGGCGCGTTGAACATGGACAAACTGTATCTTGACAGCTTCTTGCTCCTAGTAGTAAGGCCAGGAGCCCCTAGTAGTGTTCTTGCTCCTAGCAAACAGACCTTTCTTCCTTTTCGTGTTTCGTTTCTAATAGCCATGGACTGGCGATGGCCTCGGAATCAGGAGATGTTGAGCAAAGAGCTGTAAGTGCTGCATGCTTTTGAGCTTCAAGAACCAAACTTCAGAACTCAGTGGAGGTTGGTAAGTGACCAATTTGCCGGAAAAATGAATGGAACATGAAAAACGAAAGCAAAATAAATAGAACATAAACTGAAAACAAAACATGTTGTTCTCTTTTTGTTGAAGAGAAATCAAAGACTGAACTCGGGTCTTGAGGCATAGCGCAAGCGAGACTTTGACACGACCGAGTCGGCGTGGAGAGAGGGAAAACGACAAGGAGAGATTCGAAAAGAGATTCGATCGGAGAGATTCAGCACAGGAGCGGAATAGCAAAAGGAACCTACTAGCGATGGCCTCCAACCTAGTAGCGAAAGGAAAAGATCCATCGTGGAAGAGAGTGGACAAGGTTACAAAGTGAGGAAGTGCAATCGACAGCAAAGGTGCTGAGAAAGGACTAGCTCAATAAAGAGATATCAAGAGCACCAATGAACAAAGCGTAACACAAGGTCCATTTCTTTTCCATTGCTATTAGGTTGGAGGTCATTGCTAGCCGGTTCCGCTATTACTGCCCTTGTGTTCCTGTTGTCTTCTGTGGTCCCAAAGGACGAAGAGAAGGGAGATGGAGAAACAAGTGCATCGCTAGTAGTAACAAGTGCCTTACGACTAGTAACAATAAGAATTAAAAAACAATTAAGTTAAATTACTAATAGCTTCTTAGTTACTACTAGCGAGGCACTTGTTACTACTAGCGATGCACTTGTTCCTACTAGCAAAGGAATCTACTTGGTCTCCTGAAAGGACGAAGAGAAGGGAGATGGAGATGGAGATGGAGAGAGGAACGAGGACCCGAGACGACCCGAGACGACGAGCCGAGTCCAGACATGGAAGAAAAAGAGAGACGTAATGAGAGGCGAATTGGCGTTACTCGTCTCTATGATCTCTAGTTCTTGTGTTTAATTCTTTGGACCGAAACAAGAAGCTACTAGGAACCAGTGCATCGCTTCTAGTAACAAGTGCCTTACTGCTAGGAGCAAGAAGCTAGTAGAAACAAGAAGCTATTAGAAACAAGTGCATCGCTACTAGGAGCACGGGCCTTACTAGTAGTAACAAGAAGCTAGTAATTAAGTTTAATTCTAATTCAATTTATTGCTAATCGCTTCTTGTTACTACTAGCTTCTTGCTCCTAGCAGTAAGGCACTTGTTACTAGAAGCGATGCACTTGTTCTTCCTTTCTTCCTTTCCTTTTTTCGATTCTAGCGATGGTCTCCACAGCACCCACTTCCCAGGACCGATATCGACCTCGTGGGCCGGCTGGGCAGGTGCAAGATCGCCACGGCGAACGTCGACAACGTTGGCTATTAATGGTGTCCAACTAAGCTATCTATACAAATCTATACAAATGAAACATGTCTTTTCTTTATGTTTTTTTTAAATATACAAATATACACTAACGAAGTGAACATATACTGTTTGAGTCAATGAAGTCTTTTCACTTCGTTGGAGTCGAGTGCGTTTCGGGCTCGCTCCGACAGGTGGCGGACCTGCTCTATTTGGTGCTGTCCATGATGCACCTTTGGTTGGTCTATGTCCGATTCTAAGACGATGCAGTGGTGCAGTGGTCAGCTTTCAATTCACTTGTGACAAGTTGCAAAATCAAAGAGAGGAAGCCTGTTTTGTGCCTGCTTGTGCATGCTGAGGAGCAGTCAACCACGACTAGAACAGATGGAAGCCTTTTTCTTTTACTTTCGGGCTTGCAGGTCCGACAGCGAATGAAGCGGTTGAGTCACCGAAAGTGGCACGACCAATATCCTAAGAGCGATGGCCTCCAAAAACACGAAGAGAAACGAAAACACGAAAAGAAAAAAAAGAAGAAAACGTAACGAAACCGATCTAGCGATGGCCTCCAACCTAAGAGCGCCTGTCGTTTTATTCACAGGTGTCTTTGGCCTTTGAAGTTTGTGTCTATGCAGCCGGTGGCTTCGCGCACCTCGGTCTAGAGTCTAGAGAGCATGTGCAGCACAGAACCAAGGCGAACAGTTTGTCTAGTTTGTGAAAAGCTTATCGTGAAATGTTATTAGTAGCGATGCACTTGTTCCTAGTAGCTTCTTGTTACTAGTAGTAAGGCCAGGAGCCCCTAGTAGCGTCCTTGCTCCTAGTAGCGATGCACTTGTTACTAACTAATAGCTTATCATGAAATGCTCCAAAAGCTTTGTGTGAGGATGCAATCCAAGCTCTTGGAAACGGCTGGAAGAATCCGGCTTTTCCTGGGAGCCACTGCATGGGAAGCTCGTCAAAAAGGCTTCAGGTGGAGGCATCGCTTTTAGGTTGGAGGCCATCGCTAGTAGTAACAAGAAGCTACTAGTAGCTAGAAGCTATTGGGGTGGAGGCCGTTGCTACTAGGATGGAGGCCATCGCTAGCAGGTTGGAGGCCGTTGAAAGGCCTCAGGTGTCAGGTTTCCGGATGTTTGAGGGAGGAATGGACTCGAGAACAAGCCTCAATGAGAACGATTCCAAAAAGCGGCTGAAAGCGAAGCAATTAGCATGGGCCCAAAACCCGTTTCAGCAGGATTTGTTTGCATCAATTCCTTGAACTCCAACCTAGTAGCGTCAGTGTTTGAATCTTTATAGCCTCCAGCTGTTTGGAAACAGCCCGGCTTCCCGCTACCTCCCCTAAAACATTGTTTGCCAACGTGCGAACCCTAAGACTTCCAGTGACATCTGTGCAAGATATCTAATTGTAATGACCTCCAACCTAAAAGCGATGGCCTCTCCCCTAATGTGCACAAGGCCTGTTTGTAGTCAATCATTCTTAATGAAAGACATGAAAGACTTCGCAGAGACAGACATGAGTTGATATGTGTTTTCTTAGTCTCCTCTTCCAAAATGCTTCTCCCGTGCACTTCGTTATTTGTGGTTTCTTATGTGTCTTCCTTCCTTCCGTTCTTCCTTCCTTTAGGTTTTTCCGTTGCCGTTGAGGTGTGGTTGTTGCCGTGGGCAGCTGAGCTTCATTGCCGCTGCGGGCCGTCCTCACCTACTGCCATCTTGGCCACACAACAAGGTTCGTCGTTTTTCACTCTTGCTACTAGTAACAAGTGCATCGCTTCTAGTAACAAGTGCCGCGCTACTAGCAACAAGAAGCTACTAGGGGCTCCTGGCATCGCTACTAGTAACAACAAGCTACTAGAGCTACCGGACCCAGACCAAAAGACATCTTCCAGAGTTCAGTCTCCAGATGTCTCCAGGCTATAGCTTGGCCTGGTTCGTGACGGGCTTTTTTGCCTCTTGGCAAGAAAGAAGACGAGTGGGTTGGAGGCCAGAGCGAATGAGAGAGAGACCGGCAGGGCCCGGGCAACAGATGAGCAAGTATTGAGGAAGAAGAAGACAAAAAAACGGACAATGAAGAGACTATAGAGAAGGGTTAAAGTTAGATTTCCCAAAACCATAGTGTGATGACTTTCCTGCATCGAAGTAGCTTCCTACATTGCCCTTACTACTGGTTACTACTGAAGCTACCTCCTGTTACCAGGCGAAAGACACCCTCATTAGAAAGAAAAGATGGGTTTGTGCGTCCAAAAAAAGCACAGACGACTTCGAGAAATCGTCACAGCTGGCTGAGCCCCTCTTTGAGGCTTTGCGAGAAGTGTGTGTTTTCGTGCGGGGTGAGCCGCCATCAGCTTTGGACAGGCGTGTGAAGTGTCCACATTCCGTAGAAGTGCTAGTGCAACGATGTGCGGCGCAATGAACATTTTTTTCATGGTCAGTCTGTCCTTTAAAAAAAAAGTTTGGCTGTGCGGTCGCAAAAAAAAGGATATGACAATGAAGATAAAAGTCAATCTTTGTTCTTTTCGCAAAACGTGTTTGACTCTTCGGTCTTGGCTACCCGTCACCCCTTTCGACAACTCTATTTGTAAGACATCGTTTTTGCTCCGGTATCCCGGCTTGGTCGGTGCAGACCAAGAAGGACGAAAGAACGATAAGAAACAGCAAGAAAACATCACAAGAGGACAGAGGATGTCCTCGGCATCGGCTCTTTTGCAGGTCACAGCCACACCAATTTGGCGATTGTTTGCCGAGCAATGCCGTTCTGGGTGGGCAATTCCGCTTAGACAAGGCCAGCCCCGTTCGTCCGATCTACTAAACAAGTCGATTGGTTTGGAAAGCAAGTTCAAGGATCCACTAGCTGGGACCTCTAACGAAAGAAGTCTGTTCGAAGTTCGAAATCGCAGGCGGAGCTTGAAGAGACCGGCAGGGCAGTCTTCGTTCCATCTCGACCACGTCCGCTCCTCTCGGTTTCTTTCAAAAGCGTGACCCTGCCAAAGCAGTTAAGAAGTCCATGAGGCCATCGCTCGTAGGTTGGAGGCCATCGCTACTAGGTCAAAATATTCAGCATAGAAGGTGAGTTTGTTGACAGATCGAAACAAGGGCTTTTGTAGCTTGCAGTAAGCATGCATTTTGCGTAGTTCTGTTCATGTGTTCATGTGTTCTACCGCTTCACAAGTTGAGCCAGGTGTCACAAGACAAAAAGACCTATTGTGGATGGGGATTGTTTTCCTATGTGTTCCTGTTTGCTATTAGGGCCCAAGGGAGACCGCAGGATTACCTTAGGACCCCAGTACCAAAACGGTACGACTTTTAGGTGCCGCCATAGGGAAGCCATATAGCCCTGCCTGGCATCGCAAACTGAGGGAAAGACGCTCTAAGGCCAGGAAGCTAATCAAAAGCTTCCAACAATCACCAAGGAACAGCTTGGTGGAAAGGTCACGAAGGCACTCGACTTGCTGGAAGGTCACCATAGCCAGCCAAGATATAAGATGCCATGGACGACCAACTACGACTATGGCTTATGGGATGCGCAGACTTGGTGGGAAGAACCAAGGGTGAAGAAGGAGAAAGGAAAAGGGAAAGGCCGTGGAAAAGGAAAGGACACGGCAGTCGAGAAGATGGCGAAGGGCAAGAAGAAAGAAGAGCAGCCCCTCTTGCTTGGCTACGACGGCACCCCAGTTGCCTTTTCTTCATCGTCTTCCTCGTCTACGGCGTCCACAAAGCAGGACAAGATGGAGCCAGGCCTGAAAGAAGAGAATTGGAAGCTCAAACAAGCGATTCGTTTTCTCCTGGACAAGGTCGAGACCAAGGAGCCGGTTCCAGAGGAAGTGCAAGAGCTTGTACAAGAGGATCCAAGAGAACTTATCCGACAAAAGCAGAAGGCGCTCAACGAAGAGCGCAAGTTGCTCAACAAGTCGGAGAAGCTGCAAGAGAGTATCCGAGAGAAGCAGGAGAAGTTCGCAGCATGGGACCAGTATATTCGTGGTGGACTTCAAACGGAAGCTCAGAGACTCCAGAACGAGATTGCCGAGATGAAGGAGACCATGAAGAAAGAAGAGAAAGACGAAAAGGCAGGCATAGATCTCGATGTGGACAACGAGGACCCGGATGGCTTGAGGGCGGAGATCACTCAGCTGAAACATGGCATGGAGCAGATGATGAACTATACAGCTCAGATCGAATCCAAGCATCAGCAATTTCTAGAGCAGATGCAACTGCAGATGGCCACTTTGGTCAGTGCAGCGACAGGGTCAAGAATGCCGCAAAGCTTCGATTTCTCATCGCCGGAGCAAAGGGTCCACACACGTGTACATGGCCTGGCTATGACAGAGGAGCCAGTTCCGAAGAGGGAGAGAACGAGGTCTCCCAAGTCACATATGGCGGAGCCGGTGGAGATCGCAGAGGGCAATTTCAACGCCTTTGTCCAGAAGGAGGTGGAGAAGATGCCAGAGCTTTTGCGCACAGAAGTGTTGCGCAACCTGGAAAGTGCGCCAGATTTATACGATACGCCAGAAGCCTTTCATCAGATGGCCACCATGGTCGACAAGGAATTACAGCAGACGGCCATGCCAGAAGCTGGAGAGTTGAAAGTTCTTCGAGAGATGAGCAAGAGCGATGCTTTGAAGCCTTTCGGGAAATCGCCAAAGCAGAAGGGCCGAGAAGGACCATATGCACTGCCCTTGACGGATGCAAAAGGGTCAGCAATTATGAGCCGACGAAACAGCAAGGAGGATGCGCGGACATCGTTTGGTTGGTGTCGGCATTTTCCGTGTATTTGCCTTCAAGAAAGCTTTCACCTTCATGCTGACACCTGCTTGGGCTTTGGTTCTGGAATTTGCAGCTGAAAGAATGCGAAAGCTATTCTTAATTTGTTCTGCCGAAGGCATAACAGACTCTATGGTTGGCTTCCACTTGACGAATGGTATGATGTGCTTTGGATCCTTTGTTTGTGCTGGAATTCATACTTATTGGAACTTGGAAGCCATGATGGAGAGGAGCCGCCTGGAGGGTGCTGTGGTGTGCACATCCTGCAAATGCTTTTCTGGGGGCAAGTTTTGTGCGTGCTTGTGTGCTGCCTTGCGGCATACTTGAGGCAGCGAAGTGAGCTTTCGCCAAGGTTTCCTTCGAGGGTTCGCAAAGTTGGGGCAGTTCGATGGGCCAGAGGACGCATTGCCAAAACATGGTTCTGCCGAAGAGCAGTAATTGCATGTTTTCTCATGATGAACTTGGCACATGCGGAGGTTGTTCGAATTGGACATGAAATTGCCCGACATGACCTGTCTAATGCTTTTGAACATGAGCATGTGGGACAGCGTAATCCTGACCGCAGTGTCTTGTCTTCGTCATGCGCAAGACATATGCCGACTGGCAATTCTCGATGCCACGATGACGTGCGGGAGGACCCTACCGGCATCAAATTTTGTGGTGACTCATGGACAAACTTTGATTTCGCCAATGAATTCGTTGATGTTCGACAGGAGCACCTCTTTGCTCCAGATGGATACCATACTGTCTGTAGAGCGGTGCATAACAATTTTGTCCCATATTTTGGGCAATCTTCTGACACAAGTGATGGGATTGCATCTTTTGGGGATCAATTGATGTTTACCAATGTGAGCTCAGAGGTTGAACAGATCCTCTTTGAGCAAAGGAGTACAGCCTTGCCACGAGCGCAGGCTATCGGCAGAGAGGCAGATGGCAGTTGGGCCACTGCTAAACTCAAGGCCTACCCCGCTTGCGGCAGTTTTTCACCACATGCTGCCGCCACCTGGGTTGAAGTCCCACCCTGAGGAGTTCTCTGACTTTGTTCAGAATCTAATGGCTGGATTTGACCTTGAAGCTAAGCAGGGACCGGACTTCAACCCAGATACTGCGAGGGCAATAGAATTAGGCGCAAAGACGCCACGGAAGAGAGACTTTCTACGGCAATGGAAATGAAAAAAGCTGTTTGCTATTAGGTAGGAGGCCATCGCTAGCTGGAGGCCATTGCTATTGGAGGCCATTACTTCTAGGTTGGAGTGTCTTTTTCTGCATTCTTATGACACCTACATTCCAAGTGGGGCGGTCCTCCCCTCACATTCTGTGCCAGGTGTTGGACTTGATTTGTCTTCTGGCCTAGCCACGCTCTTGGAAAGGATCCTAGTGGCCCCGTTCGTAGCGTCCATGCTACTAGTAGCAATGCCAGGAGCCCCTAGTAGCGAACATTGCTCCTAGTAGCAATGCCAGGAGCCCCTAGTAGCGAGCATTGCTACTAGTAGCAATGCCAGGAGCCCCTAGTAGCGTCCATGCTACTAGTAGTAAGGCCAGGAGCCCCTAGTAGCGTCCATGCTACTAGTAGTAAGGCCAGGAGCCCCTAGTAGCGTCCATGCTACTAGTAGTAAGGCCAGGAGCCCCTAGTCCATGCTACTAGTAGCAATGCCAGGAGCCCCTAGTAGCGAACATTGCTCCTAGTAGTAAGGCCAGGAGCCCCTAGTAGCGTCCATGCTACCAGTAGTAAGGCCAGGAGCCCTAGTAGCGTCCATGCTACTAGTAGCAATGCCAG